ACGAATCAACTTCTATTATTTTAAACGTCCAATCTAGCAGACTGAAAATATCAACTTCTATTATTTTAATTACATGAACAAAGATCTATCACCTAACATGTAATCCATATCTTATCTGATATGATACAAAGTATTAATGGTTTAACTACTGAACAAAAGGAAATTGTACAGGTAGTGGTATTACTTCACACAATTTTGTGTTATTGTTTAAACTAGTTTTCTTGGATCTTCGCGCTGATAAAGATGGTGACATAGAAGTAGTCGGAACATGTAGAGTCAACATTTTAGAGGCTATAGATTGGCCCGAATACAAATGTTTTTAATTGTGTATTTATTTTAATGTTGTATGTAATTTATTTATCATTTTAAATTCTTAAGTTTTTTTGACATCAACTGTACATTCTTTACATTCGCTAACGCCGTATGATACAAACATGCTACACTTGACAACGATAAGCGTTAAGCCTGTGAACATGCCAATTTCCACGTGTTCTGATAATGCAAGAACAAAAACATGTTATTGCGTACCTAATAATATATTTTAATCAACAAACATTTCAAAAGATTGGTAAACAATAAAACGCGTTTTCTAGAAATCGTATATGTTTACAGAAACCCGTTTTCATGCGAAAAATGGTGTCTTTTTAATGTTACAGCGCTATTTAAAATCAACAGTATAAATGAATTATTTTACTATTACTTCCTTTTCCAAGCTCACTAGCTGATTGTCTTGTATTTTACTGCGCTGTCCAATAGTAAAGCTCGTTTGGGTTCTTTTTACCAGGAGTTTGTATAGTGATAAGACCAAATGTTTCCTTGTAGGGTTTATAAGGACACAAGCTGCAATACGTGTAAGGAATGGTTAGGAGAATCTGGTAAGTACATAGGTAACTCTAGTTATAAGAATTTATTATTATTTTTACATCAGTGGCGCAAAGCAAAGTGGGTGGGTCACGTGATAATGTAGTGACTTTAATAGTACATCAAATTTTCAAGTTTAATGTTTATGAAAAATTAATTTATTTGAGAAATCAATATTAAGTTGATTTGAGGTACACTTTTTTTTCTAGTCTTTGGTTTCAAAATCGTAATTTTCAAACTGGTTTTTCGTCTTTTCAGTGTATATATATATATAAATAATAACAAGGCAACACTTATGAAATATATTACAAGTAAAAATGAAATACTTATAAAAACATTTTAAAGTTATATTGGATGGCAAGAAACATATGTATATAATAGAATGAATTTACGTTTTAACCAGTGCCTTACTTTATTGGTCAGCACACTAGATATAACGTTACAATATATTTTATTGGTCATTCACACTAGATATAACGTTACGATACATTTTATTGATCATTCACACTAGATATAACGTTACAATACATTTTATTGGTCATTCACACTAGATATAACGTTACAATACATTTTATTGGTCATTCACATTAGATATAACGTCACAATACACTTTATTGGTCAGTCACAATATGTATAATGTTACAATACACACTATTAGTCAGTCACACTAGAAATTACATCACAATACACTTTATTGGTTAGTCACACTAGGTATAATGTTACAATACACTTTATTGGTCAATCACACTAGGTTTAATGTTACAATACACTTTATTAGTCAGTCAAACTAGGTATAATATTACAACACACAATTTTCCAAAAGACTAGTGATGTTAGACGATATTAATATTTTTATAAGCCTTATTCAAGATTACAGGAAAATTCATGTTTGTGATTAAAGGTTTTAAGGTACTTTATAGTTCGCGTTAAAATATGATACTTTTAATGATATTTGAGTTTATTATTAAATTTTATAACACTTTTATTCCTCATCTGCGTGAATCTTGAATAAAAGCATACTATTAACTTAATTATACACTTATTTCATGACATATATTTTTGTGTTTAAACCTTAAACAATTAAAAATGGCTGATAAAATAATTAGCCATGTAACATATGTTGTTTCTACCAAAAGTAGGCGATTACGTATATTCCAGGAAAAGTATTGGATTCTGTAGAAACCCGCCACTTTGTGGTTGTCTCGCTAAGTGTAAACACGGAAGAAATTTCATAAAGCCGTGCTGACGTTTACATTACATTTCTTGAAACTAATGTATGGCTTCCGTTCACGGATTTGAGCTTGCTATCGTTATACATTCTGACTAATAACAATGATTTCATCCTAAAACTAGTGTAACCATCTCTTTTCCATACTAAGCCTTTTCATCCTAAAACTAGTGTGACCAACTCTGTTCCATACTAAGCCTATTCATCCTAAAACTAGTGTGACCAGCTCTGTGCTATACTAAGCCTTTTCTTCCTAAAATGTATGTAATCATAGATATTATATATGTAGAGTTTGAGATTTAATAACATTTCTGTAGGATGCAGAAAAAATAAGTGAACTATTGAATTTGAATATATTCTTATTGATTTTTCTTTTTTTTTTGCCAAGAAGCCAGATCTTGTGAAAACAATGACCAAGGAAAAGAAAATAGCGATCTGTTTCTTCGGCATGGCCCTACTCTGTGGAGGAATTATTTTCATGATAAAGAGTGGAGCGCTTCAAGTAGAGGCCTTTTCCAAACCTTATCTCATTAGTGGAGCTATTCTCACAGGAAGTGGTATACTTGGTATTCTATGCTCTTGTTTCTATTTAGTTTGGCCAAAAGAACTTCGAAATTTTACCAGGAATAAACGAAAACATTCTACACCAAATTATGAAGAAACGAATGACGTGAACGCTGTGCTTATTATTATTATAGATTCGTGCTTTCATTATCAAACCGCTAAGAAGTGTTATTTTGTATCAATCGATGATATTATTCGCAAAACTGGATGCCCCGTTCCACACTATTGTACTCTTTATGATCCTAATGAGTCATCCGTTCAAAGTAATTCAGGACAGAAGTATAAGTCCCTTCCTAGTTGAACGTATTGAGTTCAGATAACGATGAGTTATTTGATGAAAGATGCGATAAAGCTTTGAGCCAATCATTTAAGAGTAAGACGTAAAACATTAAAAAAAAGAAGCAAGTTTATTATTCAGCACATTGCGATAAAGAATGGTTGAAGGAACTCTGTTATGATATAATGTTATTTTCTAAAAAAAAAATATTTTTGGGACAAACTAAAGTCTCATTCAGGTCAACCTTATAATAATGAATCTTTCTTATCTTATGTCAAGTTAGGTATACGATTGGATGTAAATCACAAATGCATTTAGCGAATAATAGAATCCGAAAGTTAACGACGGTAACTTATATATATATAATACCTCATGATATTTGAAATATAATATATATACATATAGATTACGAAAGCATATTGAACTGTATATTTACTAAGTGCTTTTGAAGGAGTATAAGTTTAGGATTATACAGCGCTAAATATTTATTGTATAAATGTGATATAAGAGGCTATATTCTAGTAGTATTGTGTATTTATTTATGGTCTATATATACGTGTGTGTGATAGTCTCCTGCCAAATGCCATATTGCAGTTTGATTAATTTTTTGATAACACAAAACTTACGCTTACCTTTTTATATGTCTTATTCAGGAAATGTCCACCAAAAGACATTTTTCGATTGTGTGATTTAACACAGTAAAATATGAATTATTTTTATCTACACCTATTTAATTCTTAGAAAAATAAATAATTTTATACCACTACCGTATTGTTACAGTCCATTTACACCTTTTGGTTCGTTTAATCTTTGTTTTAGATATTTGTTTCAAAACGCATAAGTAACCGGTAGTTAATGTATAACATAATGAGGAGTTGAGTTGTTAGACCACAAGGATGAAACATAACATTATAGGAAGAATAAGAAAATGTTACTTTTTGTGATTATTAATTATTAGTAATATACACTGTTTGAAACTTTCAGATACGGAAAGTAATAGTAGGTAAATACACAACACCGAGTAAAGCAATCCAAAATAAAGTTCAAAATTGACATTAAACGGAACAAGACCAAAGTTATAAGGATACAAGTTTCGACACCTTGGCGTTGTTTCGTTATTGTGGAATTAAACTTTATTTTTTTAAAAATTAATACACAACATACCTGACAACACGTATTACTTATGTAAGAGCTGCACGTGCGAGTGGCTCTCTTCAGGCCATGTCCACGAATGTACTACGTAGGGTTTTCGTGTTTTATAGTGTATACTTCTCTTTTTCGTTCGTTGTTAACATAAGGTTTTGTTCACACAACAGTTCCGTACATACAGATGTCAAACATACAGCATTAATCTTATTTTTACATATAAAAAAAACCTTTTAAAAATAAACATTATATCTAACTACCGGTTTGCTCAGTAGTAGGTGCATATATGTTACATAAGGAGTTTACTAGATTTAGTGGTGAGAGGTGTTTTGGTCTACTTGCATTATGTATAATAAAATTTTCACGTTCTTAGTGCTGCACTTTTGTTAAAATTTTTGTGTAAGTAATCTATAATTAACTGGTTTCCCTCTAGTCTATTATTTGTAAATTATGCACGGCTAGAGCAGATAGCCCTCTAGTGGCACCTCTAGTGGCTTTACGCGAAATTCAAGAAATAAGAAATCTGAAAACGGGTCATATTAATTAAAACTGGCCTAGTTCAGATACTTCTTTTCTACACTTATTTCCACGTGATTGTAACGAAGTAATGTTTTGATTCTTATGAGCTTATGGAACGGGAATGGGAATCTGATTTTCTGGGAAGAGCTCGTGTAATCTCCGTGAGAAACCGTTTAATAGGAATAGTTTGTACTAGAAAAACTATATCATCACACAGTCGAAATGTTATCATCCGTTTATATCGTTATCATGTGTTAAATTAAAATATGATTATATATATATATATTGCTCTGTAAGGAGAAACTGTTTCTGCATGAGAAAAAATCACGCTTCTCGTGTTCCAATACATGAATTTCCTTTATTTTACCATGTTTAAATTCATGTTGTAAACCCCAAGAAGCGTACAAAACGTTTTCACAACAATATTAGTTGCGACAAAGTAACAATTATTCATTATCTGATAACTAAATTCACTTTTTTTTTCATCACAATAGAGTAAAGATTGGCAATTGAAAGAAGTATTTCAAATGTTTTTTTTTTGTAGAGAAACTAATAAATAAGTTGTTATGGTTGCCATGATGGGCTAAGACCATTAAGGCGCCATAATGGTCTGATTTCATTAAGGTGCCATAGTGTGGTGGACTGATATCATTGTGGTGGACTGATATCATTGTGGTACCATAGCGTGGTGGAATGGTATCATTGTGGTACCATAGCCCATTGTGTAGTTTTGTGCTTACTTACAAACAAACAAACAAACTGTGCTAGAGTTGTCCCTATTAAATTTAGTACTTTTTTTGAAGGATCCAGACCATTTTTAATTAAGTTTGTGAAAACTAATGATAGAATAGTTGTAATTAAATCTGTTTATTTTTATATCTAGCATTAACACAATTTTCTCTTGTTGTGAAACAGGTTCTTGTCATTTATTTACATTTATCCACTTTTTGAAAACTAATAACAAAATTTCATTTAATGTATTTATATTTTTCACCTTTTACGATTTATCATATTAGTTTCCCTCACATGATAACGTGATACGAGTATTAATGGTAATAATATCTATGAATCCACTGAAATAATTAAATGCAACAAAAATAATTTAAATAAGAATTAGAGAGATAAGTTGCCACTAGATGGCGCAATCCATGATGTATCGTCGCTACATTGACGACATACTAGTGATTGCATCCATGCCTAAATCAGATTTACAAACTTTTCTACACTTTATTTCCTCTTTCCACCTCTATTTAGGGTTTATTTGGGAAATATCCGACACAGCACTCCCCTTTCTCGACATTACCATACACATACAAGACGACCATTTGACCACTAGTATACATTACAAAGGAACACTTTCACACACATACCTACATTTCGAATCTTCCCACCCGTACAGTAACAAAAAGTCAATACTTTACTCACAATTTTAAGTTTACGCAAACTATGTAGTGATGATAAAGACTTTTCTAAAATACACTACCCTGATTCTCTCATCCACGATGTAGCCACCAAAGCTAGCTCATATACCCAGGAGCAAACACTCAACCCTACCACTTGTGTTAACATACCATCAGACCAACAAGAAGATATTATACTAAACAATTACAGAATACTCACTGAAGACCCTACCACTAAATTTCTTTTCAAGGACCAACCAATTATTTCTTTCAGACATAGAAAGAACAATAATAAAATGGATCTACAATATTATTGACTATTTGCAAATAGTAACTATGAAGACGAGGTAATAAAATAAAAATCAAGTCGAGAACAAGAACAAAATTTTATAAACGAAAACC